AGGAATCTTGGGCTGGTGACAGAAATTGTTTCTTGCCTTTGAATCCAGGACACTGACAGAATGCAAAGTTAGAGCAATTGGTTGCCACTCTGAAAAATAATTGTAAATATCCTACTTAGAAAAAAAAATTAGGACTGGGCTGGGATTGTGGCTCAGTGGTAGAGTGCTTGCCTCACATGTATGAAGCACTGGGTTCAACTCTCAGTACCGCATATGAATCAATGAATAAAATAAAGGTCCGTTAACACAAAAAAAAATTAAAAAAAAAAAAAGAAAAAAATTAGGACAGAGCAGAGATTCTTTTTTGCTGGGATGTGTTTTATCCAGTATGAGCTACTTTTTAAAAAAAATATTTATTTTTTAGTTGTAGGTGGACACAATATCTTTATTTTATTTTTATGTGGTGCTGAGGATTGAACCCAGTACCTGATGCATACTAAGGCGAGCGCTCTACCTCTGAGCCACAACCCCCGCCCCATGAACTACTTTTTATTTGGGTATTATTGGTCAATTTTCTGTTTCTATAACAAAATACCTGAAATAACTGAGGCTGAAATAACCAAGTTATGTAAAGAAAGGGTTTGTTTTAGTTCATGGCTTTGGTGGTCCTAGTCCATGTTAGTTTGCTGCATTTTGCTATGTTGCTTTGGATCTGTGGTAAGGCAGCACATCATGGCAGGAACATGTGGCCGAGCAAAACCATTCACCTCATGTTCAGGAAGCCAAAGAGAGAAAGAGGAAGGAACCAGAGTCCCACAACCCCCTTTAAGGGCACATCTCCAATCACCTAAGGACCTCCCACTAGTTCCTACCTTTTAAAGGTTCCACCACTTTCCCTGGTGACCAAGCCTTTAACACATGGGCCTTGGAGGGATACTCAATATCAAACTCTGTCAGGCATGTCCTGTATTCATACCAGCACATTCTCCTTTTGCTTGAGTTTGAGTTGAATTTCTGTCCTAGCTCACCACTCAGAGGAAACTACAGGTACAAATGTGTGAATGTGGGAAAGTGCCTGGCATATTGAGGGACCTGCTAGGAATGTGACTTGGCCAAAGCCTAGAGCTAGCTAGGGAGAAATGGGCCAAGTCTCTAAGGGTGGATGGGGTTGGGTCAGATCATGGAAGGCTGGGGTCAGATGGTGAATATATACTTTTTTTTTTTTTTGGTACTGGAGATTGAACCCAGGGGCACTTAACCACTGAATCATATCCCTGGCCCTTTTTCTTCCTGTTGTTTTATTTTGAGACAGGGTCTTGCTAAGTTGTTTAGGGCCTCCCTAAGTTGTTGAAGCTATCTTTGAACTTGAGATCATCCTGCCTCAGTTTCCCAAGCCACTGGGATTACAGACATGTGCCACCAAGCCAGCAATATTTATTACGGCTTTTAACAAAAAGTGACATAGATATGCAGTTTATAAAGCTCACCCTAATAACTGTGAGATGGGTGGAGGTGAGCAGGTCTGGAGGAAGGCCTGTAGCAAAAGCCTAGGGGAAACAGAGAGCATCACAACTCAGCTGGGACCAAGAGGGATTGAGTGAAGTAAGAATTTGGAATATGTAGCAAAATTCTAGGTTCAATGCACAGGACATGAATGGAACCTTGTCTCAACCATTTTCCACATCTTATAACTTTGAGGTCTCCTCCTTAGGCTCTGGGTTACTTTTTCATAGGCCATATTTTCATATTTTTTTTACAAGTGAATAATTCTTTTTAAACTACTTGTGGGGCATGGTGGTGCACACCTGTAATTCCAGCAAGTCCTGAGGCTGAAGCAGGAGGATCCTAAATTGCTACCAGCTGGGAAACTTAGCAAGATCCTGTCTCAAAATATAATGTTTTAAAAATTAAATTAAAATTTTAAAAGGACTGGGGTTGTAGCTCAATGGTAAAGTATTCCTGGGTTCAATCCCAGTACCAAAGCAAACAAACAAAACAGCATCTGAAAGGTGGCCCTACATCATTAAGCTTAGTATTATCCTCCCTACATCTAAAAACCGCATCTCTAATCCTTGAATGTAATTTAATTCAGCAAGTGAGTGAATGATGAGAAAATTCTGGAACAAGTGCTACAGAAGACACATGGAAAGAACATGCTTCCACTGTTTTCAAGTAGCTTAGCATTCAATGAGAGAGAGAAAGAGAGAAAGAGAGAGAGAGAGAGAGAGAGAGAGAGAGAGA